CACACACTCTCTGTCCTCGACAATCCAGGTGAACGACGTGGTATTTAGCAGTGATGAGACTCAGTTCGCCACCTGCAGTGAGGATGGCAGTGTGAGAGTGTGGTCAGTCCCCAGTAATGAACTAGTGGTGCAGTTCCAGGTTCTCAACCAGGTGAGAAAAGACAAAAACACTGAAGAGGTTTAAACTCTGTTGGGCTACTCTCCAGTGACTCATTTTGTCCCAAGAATGGTTCGTGCACTGAGAGCTCACACCACTTTATAAATTGACAACCCTATTGGTCAGGCCTGTGGCTGTGTGTGCTGGAGCCAGTCATCCAGTAAGGACACGTCATGTGTTGCTGCCGGATACAGTGATGGGACGCTGAGGACCTTCAACCTGTCGTCTACAGAGATGGAGATGAAGCTGCAGCCTCATCAAGTAGCCATTACTGCCATCCAGTACTCAGCCAACGGTGAGACAGCAGTGTGAGAGACTAGACACATGAGCCAGATGGGGAGTGTTCGATTCACTTGTTAGTGTAAGGCTTTTAGCATCTTCAGGGGACCTAAGAGAAACAGTATGAAGAAAAATAGATTTTCATTTTCAGTCATTTTCAAAGGAGCACATGAAGTGTAAACATCAAGTGTGTGCTTTCTGAACCGCCGAACAATCTACTGGGGTTTTTTTTTTATTAAAATGCTTTCTGCTGGTTTTTACTGACAGTTTAATTTGTGCTCAGTTGTTTCATGCTGTGTCTATTCTGTGGCTCCTGAACAGGTCACGTGATCCTCTCCGGCGCAAAGAATGGACTGGTCGCTGTCAGCAGTCCAGTGAATGGAATGACTATCCGTGTCATTAAGGACCACAAAGGAGCACAGATTACCACCATCCAGTCTGTTAACACAGAGGTCAGCTCAGCCGTGGAGCTTTAATCAGTTAACACAATAGATAGGAGTTGGAGAAAGAGATTTGAGTAGATTGCTCTCTTTTTACTGGTAAATACTTTTGCAGTCAATCAGGCTCGTTCAAAACTCAACCATGAAGCAACATGTCATCATTCAGTCAAACGTTCTAACTATAAGTCTGATAGACATCACGTCTGCAAGGTTTTCTTGCAGCCTAACCCAGAAGCAGCAGCTTCCCTTCTTCTATGGTCAAAGATTTAAATACAGTGCAATCCAAGTTCAATCATTGGTTCACGGAGACACATGACATAGAAAAAGCAATAAAAATCCATAAATGGCCCATTCTTAACAGTCCAGCAGATATTGACAGATTTTTTTTTTGTCTGGCCCTCAACGTGATATCACACAACAGTCCCTTTCTCTAAAAGGGACTGTTGTGTGATATCACGTTGAGGGCCTCGAGCCACCAATCACAGCTTAGGCTGTGATAAATAACAATTCAAGGAAATATTCTCAGGTTTGTTTAAGGTTTTTTACTTTGAAAATGTGACTTCCTTCATCAAAACGTTGTGGTTTTTTTTTTCCTTTTTGCTCTTTTTCCAACTTCCAGTGTCCAAGTCCTGGACTTGGAGGAAATGAGATGCTGCTGACGTCCAGCGCTGACAGACGGGTCAGCGTGTGGGCTGTGGATTGGCTGAAAGAAAAGTGTGATCTACTGGATTGGCTGACGTTTCCTGCTCCCATCTATAATGGGGTACAATCCGTATTTCACCTGTAATACGTTGGGGGTTTTTTCCACTTATTACTACTGTACATAGCTAAATACCACGTCGTTCACCTGGGTTTTTTTCCACTTATTACTACTGTACATATGCAATAAGGTAGTAGTAGGTTTCAGACCGAGGTTTAGAATGAAGCGGCAGAGAGAATTCAGATTCTGGAATCCTAGGAAGAATAGTCTTTTTTTTTGAGTGAGAATATACATTTTAACATTTTCTATTTTCAGTTGGATTTATGTGATTCAAGTCAAAAGCTAAACTTTTTTCATAAAAACAAACAAATTAATATATGTATATATATGTTTTTTAATTACATATTTTTAATTTTAATACAATACAATTGAACACATTTTAACAGTCCTTGAAAATTAGCTGTGTTTGTATTACAGGATGACAGTCCTCCCCCCAGTCTGGCCGCCTTTTGTCCAGCAGACCCCAGCTTGCTAGTCTACACTGGCTACGGAGTGGAGAAGGAGTTGTCCTTCTATAGTCTGACTCAGAAACAGGTACCACAGCAACTTCCACATGTCTGAATTCTCTCTGCGCCTACAAAGTATGTGTGTTATGCCTTGCTCTGCGTCTGTGTTTTTCTGCAGATAATCAAAAAGATTGCACTACCTCACTGGGCCTCATGCTTTTCTCTGGCCTCTAAGAATCAGCTCATAGCTGTGGGATCGAAAGGTACATTTGTGCCTTGTAAAAAGAAAGTGTGACATGAATTTGATTTGTTTTTCATTGCTAACTTATCTGTGTTGTCTTGTTTTTTTTTTCTGTTTTTTTTTTACCAGAGCGAGTTGTGAAGTTAATCAGGTGGAGCAGTGGGAGGTTTCAGGACTTTGTGCAGCACAGTGACTCTGTGCAGACGTGTCAGTTCTCACCCTCTGGGTCGCTTCTGTTCACTGTGGCCCATAATGAGATCCTGCTGTGGGACGTGCGTGGCCTCTGAGGGTGACAAACTGATTATTAATATCAGTCTGTCTCCTGGCTTCATATTTGGGTCATTGTGCAATTTTACCTTTTTTTTTCCCCAAATAAACATTTTAGTTGTGTTTACAGAGAAGTTTTGTTCAAGTTTTTACAATGTTTTTAATGGTTAAATTAACTGATTTGTTTGTATGTTTTTTTTAAATACAACCGTTTTTAATGAAAATTTGTGTCCAGTCGCTTTCTATTTATTCAGGATTTTCTCTGCAACAGCTTAGAATTTATAGACAACAATTAAGATGATGATAAACTGCAGCAGCAGCCAAAGACATTTGACAGTTACCTGCAAAGAGAATGTTATGTGCAAATCCCGCTTAAGTGCTATTTTGGGCAACGACAAGAAGAGAAGGGTTAGACTGAAGCTGAATGATTGAGATAAGGTCATGAAATTATTTTTAATCCAGTTTTCCACTTCAGTTTACAGAGATGTGTGTTCAGATGAAAGATTGGTCTGTGACATTTATATATATATATTTATAGATACTGTATATATAAACCAATAAATAAAATTAAATGTGTGTGAATTGAATCTGTACGTAAGAACAATAAAACTTTCTGAAAAAATATTTTATTCAAATTGAATATATATATATATATAATATAAATCTTATTACGGAATAAAGGCTATCCTTACATGTTGTCTTTTAAGATGCTATTTGTTTGACGGCTCACAAAATACACTACATATTTAATTAAATGAAAGCAAACTGCCGTGTGTAATAGGATGTTTGTCCAACAGGGTTCGCACTTCCACTGTCTCTGTCGTGAACCGGAACAGTATGATTGTTTTAACCTTGGCAAAATGCACACACATTTGCTGTATGTGTGAACTGCACACGAACAGTGGGCTGCAGCCGATTATTATTTGACATTCAAATGAAAAATAATAAATGTTCCTGTAAATTTACAGGGTTTCTGACTATTGTTCACACACCGGGGAAACATGAAGCAAGACGTCAGGATACTTTTACTGGGGGAACGTAAGTTATTTTCACTGGTAGCACAGCTGCTAACTAACCAGCGAACATTAGCCTAGAACTTACTACTACAGAGCAGAGTTTCCATCGGTTCCAAGTGTCACTAAAAAAAACAAGCTGTTAAATTTAAATAGTTTTTGCTCTAGTTGTACTGTCTTTCCCCGAAAAAGACTGCTTTTAGACACTGGGCCGATACTAGCTCAGTGTGCACATTTCCTGTGAAGTTGTGATGTGACAGTCATTAAATGTAACTGTCATTAATTCATTAATCTTGACTCGTGAATGTCAAAATTTGAGCCCCACACGACAAAATTAATTGAAGAGTGTTATTGATAAACTCCTTCTCGTCGTTAATTGCCGTTTAGTAGAGAATTTTACCAACCAAGATCACACATTAATTAAATATAATTTATTCAAAAGTCAATTTTACTCTTAAGAACCTTGATTTCATAAAACCCACTAATGCATGTTGTTTTACTCTGTCTTTCGATATCCTTCCTGCTTAATTATATTTATTACCGGATTGTTAGGAAACGATATAGTCCACTTCATGTTAGATTAGGTGGTGTAAATATTGTGTTGGGTTGATGAAAGTGACTTTTCATATTTTCTACATCACGTTGTTTTAACAGCAAAGGTAGGGAAGACCTCGCTCATCATGTCTTTGGTGGGAGAAGAGTTTCCAGATGAGGTAAGAGGGAGGGTAGGCTGCACATCAATTTTATAATAATATAATATTATATATATATATATACTTCAAAAACGTCATTAAAATGGTAAAGGTGTGAAGTAGAGATAAGTCTAAAGTTACTTTAGGCCAATGCTCAATTTCCAATAGTTTTATTAAAAGAACATTTGATTAGTGTACAGGGTCATACAAAAGTAACAAGTAAGTCCTTGTTAATTATTTATTGCATAATTCGTCACATATTCTGTTGCTACTATATAAACGTTCTCTGGTTATTCATCATCCTTCTTCGTTGACATGCTGCTACCTCTCTGTATCTCAATTCCTATTTGGTAAAGCACTAAAAATAAAAAAGTCAAAAAAAAGGTCAATGACTTATTTTCCTGATTAACTGTTTATAATTAAACTTTTGTTTTTTTAAACTCCTGTCAGGTTCCCCTCAGAGCTGAAGAAATCACCATCCCTGCCGACGTGACTCCAGAGAAGGTGCCCACACACATAGTGGACTACTCAGGTAACATGATCTGCACACCTGTCCACCTCTGTTATTACAGACAGTCATGGGGTATGTACATGTGAAAACAAGGAGTCATGGAAACTGGGAAGCATGACACAAAGCTTTTTCTGTAAATTCGACAGAAACGGAGCAGAGCGATGCCATCCTCAGGAAAGAGATCACCAAAGTAAGTCGGCTGCACTAAGTGATCACCCACTCTGAACTTCAGTGTCCTTCTAAACCTAACTACTAAAAGAAGATCCACTCAGGGACTTTAATACACTACATTGATGTAATAAATATATTGGTGTCTTTAATGGGCTAAAGTTTATTTGTAGGACCATAAAATTACAATTCTTCTGTCTCCACAGGCTAATGTGGTGTGTGTGGTGTATGATGTTACCAACGAGGACACGATAGAAAAGGTAAAAAAAAACTGCTGTTTGTTTCAAAGTCATTCGACCACTTTGAAATATGAATTTAATTTCTGAACTAAAGAATTCCTGTGTTATGTGCTTCCTTCTGCCCTTCAGATCAAAACCAAGTGGATCCCTATGGTAAACGGAGATGCAGAAAAGGGGAAGAAGTAGGTATAGTTAGCCTGATGGGTGTGTGTGTTTGTTTTACTTTGTTGAACTTTGCCCTTCCTTCTTCAGACTGTTTCTGTTGGCTCACGTGTCCCTAAGAATTTAAGCTTGTTGTGAAATGAAGTAATCCTTAAAACGTGTCAGGAAAAAAATGTCATGAATGTAAAATAAAGTGCGTGTGTCGTTGATGAATTCTATCAAAGAACAACAAACAACTGCAATGTTGTTTTTTACTCATCAATTAAACCTGCGCTGTCCGTACATTGTTGTGTCAGAATTCCCATCATCCTCGTGGGAAACAAATCCGACCTGCGATGTGGCAGCTCCATGGAAACCATACTTCCCATCATGAACCAGTTCTCGGAGATTGAGACGTGTGTTGAGGTGAGGACTGAACTCCAGACTGTACAGGTTTATTCCACTTCATCACCTGAGATGAATTAACCTGGGATTTTTTTATCTTGTGGCAAATGCCTTGTCAGATCCAAATTTCTTCTGTCAAGACTATCTCAGTTTTATGTTTAGGGAGAAAAAAAGTTTTTTCTCTCTCTCTTTCCTCTTCAAGTGTTCTGCAAAGAACCTGAAAAACATCTCAGAGCTATTCTACTACGCACAGAAGGCCGTCCTTCACCCCACCGCTCCTCTCTATGACCCCGAAGACAAACAGGTGACTCCTGAAATCTGACACAGTGAACTGCCAGGTCCCTGACACACTGGAGACTGAATCATCTCATATGTGGCTGCTTATTCAGCACTTTAATCATCTACTCCTCTAGATGTTTTATATGTTTTACAATAACTTCCTTTTCTTTCCTCTTCTCTCAGCTAAAACCGCTGTGTGTCCGGGCCCTGAGCCGAGTCTTTTACATTTCTGACCAGGACAACGACCGAATCCTCAGTGACACTGAACTCAACAGATTTCAGGTGCCACTCCAAATCTTTTTTTTTTTTAATATCCTGCTTTGAATCTTAACAATTATCTTTAAAAACTCTCTTTTCTGCAGAAATCTTGTTTTGGAAACCCCTTGGCCCCTCAAGCCTTGGAAGATGTGAAAACTGTTGTGTGGAAGAACACCAGCGACGGGGTTCAAGACAACGGCCTGACTTTAAATGGTAAAATTTGTCTTGTCGAAGTCACCGTTTACTCAGAGCCTGGTATAAAGGAATCTGTCTTCTCTTTTAGGTTTCTTGTTTCTTAATACATTATTTATCCAGAGGGGGCGCCACGAAACCACGTGGACCATCCTCAGGAAGTTTGGTTATGACGACAGCCTTGAACTGACGGATGATCACCTCCACCCTGAGTGAGTCTCCAGAATGTTCTGTCTGCCATTTTAACATAGAAACACGTGAATCTTTGTGTTGTGATCTTGGACTGAGACGGTGGAGAAACTACATTTTTCAATAGTATCTGTTTAACGTTCATTTTTAAACTGTTTAACGTTCATTTTTAAACTGTTTAACGTTTATTTTTCCACACTTATCGGTAAATATGAACAAAAATGTGTGTTTTAAGGATCAACATTCCTGTGGGCTGCACAACAGAACTCAGTATCGCTGGCCTGCAGTTCCTCCAGCAGCTGTTTGCCAAGTATGATGAAGTGAGTGGTTACACAGGTCACCTGCGAACTAAACATCGCAGTGGGCTGTGAAAGGGCAGTAGATGAATGTCACAGGAATCTAAGATGGTCCAGTCGTCTTTTACAGGAGATTCTGTCTTATCTTTTCTCTGTTTCTCTCAAACGTTTTGTTTTCATCCTCTGGTAGGACAAAGATTCGGCCCTGTCCCCGGCAGAACTTAAAAACCTCTTCTGTGTGTGTCCTTCCACGCCCTGGGGGCCTGAGGTCTACGTGACGGTGCCGACCACAGACCAGGGCTACATCTCCAGACATGGCTACCTCTGTCAGTGGATGTGAGTGATTTTTAGTCCTGCTCCAAAAATAAAATGAAAAATATAAAAAGATGTTTCTTTATCTGGCCGTCCATAAATAGTTTGTATTGTAGTTGAACACACAGAGAGCTCTGAGATCATGTTCTCCTTCACCTCACTTTAACTGTGTTTACTTTTATTAGGCAATGTTTGACATGTATGCCTAAAGACGAGTGGTTAGGTCTTAACACTTTATTTATCCAACAGAAAAACGTGAGCTAATAAATGAACTTTTTGTAATCTTTTTCTTTTTAATCTGTGATTCTGACAGCCATTTTCTCATGTTTATTTTAGCTATTCTACCTTTTTATATATTATAAGTAGGCATTCTTTTTTCACAGACCCCTAGATTTATATAAAATAAAAAGACAACATTTTTTTAGCACATGGCATCTTTTCATTTACCGTCCTGTGTATGTATTTACTGAGTGTCTTCTCCACACAGGCTTACTGCTTATGTTAACATCCACCGTTGCCTGGAACTCCTAGGATACCTGGGTTATACCATCCTCACTGAAGAGGAGTCACAGACCTCTGCAGTCACAGGTGTGTGTGTGAGTGTGTGTGTGTGTTTGTTTGTTGTGGCTCACCTGATTAATCCATTATTTGTGAAAAGGCACTATCTGAATCAACACCGATGTAAATAAGTGATAACTTATGAGGCCTTATCCACTATCTCAGTGAACTAGATTGTGGTACTCAGGCTCCATCTAGTGGTACGCGTAGGGAATCTGATTTTGTTGTGTGAGTACGTGTGGTTTTGTAATACAGGTGTCAGTGACGTATTGCTACTTCGTAGTCCAATTTAGCTTTGGCTGGGACATACTACTGTTGTTAAAGACATTTGAGGCCAGTTGTTAAAGTCATTCCATACTTTATAATATGAAAAGCAAATGTGAAATAGAACTGGCCACACAAATGCCACACAAATACCTTAAACATATAACTCTGTTACGTGACACATTCACGGACAATAAACTGTAACATCTATCCTTATTATGATCATTTTACAATAAGCTTAATCAGTAGACTCCAGAAACTGTTGCCACAGAATATCGTTCTGAAGTCAGAATGACAAATTAAAAAAATCTTTTCTGCTCTATTTCCTTATTTGTCTTTGTCCTTGTGTGCAGTGACCCGGAGCAAACAGGTTGACCTGGAGAAGTGCCAGACCCATCGTTCAGTGTTTCTTTGCAAAGTGATTGGACCAAAAGGGACAGGAAAGAGCTCCTTCCTTCAGTCCTTTCTGGCTCATAATTCTGCGGTACGGCACCCCCAGCTTGTGGGAAGCTGCAGACACCAGAGTTGACATTGATAACCTGATTAGCCTGTGTATCAAACTTAAACTTGGCTTCTTTTTTTTTTTTAAGGACTCAGAGAAAGAAACATCCAGCAGTGCCTTCTCCCCATACGCCATAAACACTGTTCAAGTCAACAATCAGGAAAAGTTTCTAATTGTGAGTGACCACTGTTTAAACCCTGACATTGACCCAGAGCCACAGCCTTAGTACTTTTTTTTTCTCACCCGCTGCAGCTCAGTGAGGTGGATGTTGAAGCAGAGTTCCTGAAGGCATCAGACGCCTCCTGTGATGTGGCATGTCTCATGTACGACCACAATGACCCACATTCCTTCGACTATTGTGCCAGTATATACAAGGTGAGTGGCAGCAGGAGTTACAGGCATCATTTACTGAATGATTAAAAGTGTTGAAACACTTGTTGGCTTTTAACTGAGCATTTGTAAAGGTATAAATAAGGTGTAAAGGTTGAGTAATCATTTGAAGAGATAATCTTCGGTCTGCATCCGCACACAGAATCACAGGTTAAAGTTCATCCCTAGGTGATGCAGACATGTCACCAATGTTCCCAGTTTATGTATTTTATTCTCTAGCAACACTACATGGAGAGCAAAATCCCATGTGTGGTTGTCGCTTCCAAAGCGGACCTCGCTGAAGTAAAGCAGTTTCATGGCACGACTCCAGCAGAGTTTTGCTATAAACACCGTCTGCCTCCACCGCTGCCTTTCTCCACCATCCTCCCCAACTCTACCAGCAAGAACATCTACACCAGACTGGCCAAGGCAGCAGTGTACCCGTATGCTTTTATTCTACATCAGTCATGAGCTTTAAATATTCAACTATTCAACTGTCAGCGTCTGTCCAAATCAGTGAGTCTCTCTCATCTCTCCTTCTTTATTTCCAGGCACCTGAATGGTTCAGAGATGAGCAGCACGTCCTTCTGGCTGAGAGTAGCTCTGGGCTCCGCTGTTGTCGCTGTCCTGGGGTTCACTGTGTACAGAGCTGTTGTAAGACTGAAATGATTTAACAACCAGCTTTGCTTTTATTTGCTTATATTACTTTGGGTTTTTTTCTCTTTTCCCCAATCTGGTGCGTCTTGCTCCCATAGAGACCAAAACCTCAAGAGACCAGATCTAGAACCACTGCAGCCAGGTTCATTTTTCTTTTCTTCATAAAGACTTCCAGGACTCTTCTTTACAGCCTCTGCTCATCCTTTCCTGTGACCTTACTTCCTCCGGCCTGGGTCAGAATTAATTCAAGTTATTTAGAAGCTAGTGTTAAAGTTTATGTTGTCTGCCTTATGGTGTGAAAGACAGACCAAATAGCGGTTCACCTTCCTACTCAAGGTACATTGACTGACCAAAACAAAAATGAACAAACTATACAGTTAATGTCCAAAAAGTAATATTTAAGAAGAGAAGACTTTTTTTTGTCCTAAAATATCTGCAGTTGTTGCTGGTGAGAATGTGGGAGTTTTCATATTTCTACAGTGTTATTCAAACACATCATGGCTAATATAAATCTGAAGGCAGCTCAGGACAGTAGTTAGCTGCCATAGAAAATCACAGTGTTCACCTTTCTTTTTGTTCAAACTAAGGGCAAGGATATTATGTCTGATTCACCGAATGAACAGCAATCAGTGGTCGTAGCATGCCGTAGACATTTTAATTCAAAATAATGTTTCTGATTCAGATGTAACTTTCACAATAGTTCTCCACTGATCTGCTGCTGTGGGAGATGTTTTTCTTTGTGCATGAAGAAAAAAAGGCAAAAATATTTGTTTCCTATGGTAAAGTAAATTTGAAAAAAAGAAATGACAGAAAGACAAAGGGGGGGGGGGTCTGCTAAAATGTATTAAAATCTATTCACCTTGAAATCATAATTAATTTTACTTGAGACTGAACCTGACAGGTAAACTATTTTTTGCTCTTCAAATCCTACGCCACACAGTGTGAACATTGTTAAAAATTCCCCTTTGTATTTTGACTTCTTGTTGAAATCTATTTTGCTGATAAATTCATCTCGGAGATACAAGGTCCTTGTGGGATCTCTGACCTTTGAGATGGGACCGTTTTCTTTGCAAATGAACTGATTTAGATGCTTAATAATAAAAAAAAAAGCCAGACCCGGTTTCTGGCTAAAACACTGGTAATTCTCAGTGTTTTTATGTTGTTTTTATTCTTTCTACCTCTGATGTTTTAACGCTCCTGGTGAAACACCATCAAGTTTCTTTTCCAGGTTCTGTGTAAGGAAGCCTGGATGTGGTGCTGAGCTCCAGGGCTCTTGTGCAGAACATAGAATCATATGTTATGCTCTTGCCTGCGGGGCTTGAATGTTGTAGCTGAAGGAAGCCTGCCTGCCATGTAGAAGGTCCTGGGTTTGTTACAACCTGTGTTGAAATCTAAAATATCATTGTCTAATCTGTGACATATTTTGAAATGCATTACAATATCCATATAAGTTGTGGCAGCTTGTGGTTTAGTTTTTGAAAGTTTGGCTTGGACCCCTTAAAAGTACTGCTCCTGTGTATACAGGGTGAAACAATTTAGTGGCGTAATTCATAGTGTATAAAAAAAATGATAACTCCCTTTGTAGCAGCAGCTTTGACCTTTGACCTCTTGCGGGTCACACGTCAGTACAAGAAAACGCATCCTGACTTGTGGTGACATTGTACTCTACTGATAGAGAGACAGAAGCAATCATTTTTATGAGGTTGGGTTTGACTTTGTTTTTCCAAACGGGAGCAATCGCCAAGTTCCTCGAAATGGCCACAAGATGGCGGTATTAGCCCACTTCTGAGTTAGGAGGCGGGACTGTGAGACAGTGATGGGTGTGTCCGGCTACTGTGGAGCAACTGAGGATTATTGATGCTGAGGTTTTGAATAGATAGAGTTGATAGAGTGATGGTGATATTTAATGATGATGTGTGACAATAATTAAAGAACCAGTTCAGTCTTCAGGAACAAACATACTGAAGTTAATATTAATGTATCATTAGTTATTCCACCAGAACCGGTAAAGTCCAGTCCTGTGCATGTAAACGTGTTTGCTTTTAAACGCTTTTTTTTTTTTTTTGCGTTTAATATTATGCCGTGAATTTACCATGAATTCTTAATCACTTATAAGCATGAATGTCTTTAGTTCCAAACAATTAAGGCTAAAATCAAATTCTTTAAAATGTCCTTGTTGTTTAGATCGGATTCAACCAACCATCTCTGTCCTTTGTTTGCTCGGTCCTGACGCATTAACTCGCACATGTATTGGACTAGAGGGTTTATTATTCTCTATATAATGTCTCACCAGAGGAACAGAGAGACAGCGGTGTCATTGGTCCGCAGAAACAGATCAGTATTAGGCCTATAACCAGTGATAGGCTGTGTTCAGTAATAATCCTCGTACTCCGCCTACCGCCAGGAACGTCTCCAAGCGGTTTTACGCACGCGTAATACGCGCGCAATAAGTTGGACAAAAGCAGACGGTGTGTAAAAGATGACAAAGGTTTTATTGAGCTGCAGTATAAACAGGAACTGGATACGTTTGAGTGTTAGAACATTGGAAAAGTCCAGGAGCTGGATGGAGCTTAGAACAACAACAACAACAAAAGAGGTTTTGGGAGAATGTTGCTGACGTCCACTGTCTTCAGTCTGTACATTGTAAAAGCTCATCATTCAAACATCTGGATTTTTCACTGGGAGCCTGTTAAACACTAACATAACAGTTATTCCTATTGTCTCAACCATATTTACATTTGTTACAAGACCATAATATCGTTGTTATGGTAACTATTAAAGCCAAATAATTAAAAATGCTCACAATGTTTTTACAGCATCTTTAGTGCAATGGAGAGGAAAATGAACAACTAGAAAAACAGCTGAAAATTTGATTGGGACCTTACAAAAATAATACATATGTGAAATAATAATAATAAACAAAAACATTTCCCGAAACTATTTACAAACACTGCGCCTCCTCCTTCACTTATTGTCCTTCACTTCTTTTTGCCTGATTTTGCAGCCTTCTTCGGGCTCTTGGTCTTGGCCTTGGTCACCTTCTTGGCTGCCTTTGCCTTGGGTTTTGCAGCCTTGGTTTTTTTGGCCGGTGCCTTTTTGGCTTTGGCCGGCGTCGCCTTCTTCGCCACCTTTTTCACTGTCTTCTTCGCCGTCACCTTCTTCTTGGGCTTCTCGGGCGTCTTGGACACCTTCTTGGGCTTGGCCACCCGTTTGGGTTTGGCCGCGGGTTTGGCAACGGGCTTCTTGGGTTTGGCGGCCGGCTTGCTGGGCTTCTTGGTGTCGTCGGGTTTGGAGAGCCTGAAGGACCCGGACGCACCGGTGCCTTTGGTGTGGCGCAGGGTCCCGTTGGCCACCAGTCTCTTCAGGGCCATTTTAATCTGCACGTCTGCGTTTTCGCCCACCTTGTAGTTGGACCTCACGTACTTCTGGATGGACTGACGGGACGCTCCGCTCCGGCTGGCGTCGTTGACGATGGCTGCCCGGATCATGTCCGAATATTTGGGGTGAGACGTGGGTTTCTTGGGCTTGGCCGCCTTCTTGGTTTTGGCTGGAGCCGCCGATGTCTCTGCCATGGTCACTGTGTTCTCACTAAGTTATTATGAAAAAAGAAAAAAACTCCTGGATCTGTAATTTCAGCAGAACACAGCAGAAGAAAACTGTGGAATATCACAGCCACAAAATAATGTTTCCCTTTTTACGACAAAGTCCTCGGTCGCAGCAGAAAACAATGTTTTTATCAGGTCAAAGTAAAGAGTTGTACAGGTCCACGCGTGTGTCACGTCACTGTCGTGGATCACTTTCAGTGTCTCCTTCCACAGGCGCTCCGCTCAGCCTATGAAGGCTTTCTGCGGACCTGATTGAGAACAGCAACTGCCAGCAGCTGATCTAGCGGACTCCATGGAACTGGCGCCGTCCCGTTTGTGTTTCTTCATCCTCCAATGCGTGGCAAATATAAAGCCCACGCTGCAGTTCCGACCCACGAAACCTCATGGACCGATAGCAGGGATATTGGGCTTCATGGTGACACGCCGGTTCCGTTCGATCCGCACCGATGAACAACTTTTATTCCAGGAAAACCGGCTGGAAGTAACACGCGCTGTGAACAATTTTGCACAATTCGCTCTAAATTGACCCAAACAGACGGAACCGGTGGGTGAAACACCACATGCACATGCAACCCGAATCTTTGCCCGAACGGATGCATGCGGTTTCATCAGCACACGACCCAGTTTTGGCTTTTAATACAGCGATACATTTTCACAACTAACACAGTCCGGCCATTGACTTTGAGTGACGTGGTGGAGAATATTCACTGTTAAACCCCCTGTAAATGAAGTGTCAGGGTTTGGAAGTGACAGGTGACACTTGGGATGGTAATCTGGGTCTGTATGGGTCGGAACACGGTGGGTGGGTTCGCTTGATTCGGTGCTTTTGGGCTCATTTTAGCCTATAAGTGTGACAACGGCAGTCGCCACTGGAGCTACATTGTCAGGAAAGTTGCCAACACCTCCTAAGGGCAGGGATTCTGGTACCGGCTCGAAACTCGGGTCTCAGGGTTTGGGTCAGGGGTCTGTGTGGCTGCTGTGTGATCAGTTGTGGGTCCAGCTGCAGGAGGGCTCAACTGCGGCTGATACGGGAGTTTCAGTGCAGGACCAGAGACATGGCTTTCTTTGTTTCACTGAAGTGTGGCGCATCAGAGCGCAGCCAGTCACACATCTGACAGGAGTGGGGTCTCCACAGGCTCATGCGGGCGTGTGGTTCCGACCCGAAACAAGAAAATCAGAGCCCAGGATTTCAAACTTTATTCCTATTCTAATGTATTATTCCAGATCTTTCAGAGCAGGTCGTATGTCCCTCCCTGCAACGCCATTTTGATTCCAGCTCTGAAAGTCACAGGCACTGACTGGAGAACTGTTATCCTTTGGCACTTGTATTGAACGATATTTATCACTTAATACTGTCACTTAATAACATCAGGTGACGTCACCAGCATTTTCTCCCTCATCAGATAAAATACTAGTGGATAGGTGCACTGCTGATCAGGACAGTACAGTGCAGATGCAACCCAGTGACACCAAATCTCCATTGATTTACATTTTTATTTTACTAAAAAATAAAATGCATCTAAATAGTCATTCTAATTAGTGAGGATGATGGTTGATTCAGCTCCAGGTCTCCACCTGTCCTCACTCTCACACGGGCTGAACTGAGTGTTTTTGGAGTGAGTGAGTGAGTGAGTGAAAGGAGGGAGGAGGGAGAAGGAATGATTTCTTCATGTGGCACAGTTTGGGCTGAAGAGAGGGAGGAGGGAGGGGGTGTGTGAAAGGGTGAGTAGACGGAGACTAGAAGGAAAATAATGGATTTATAGCATAGACTACTGCATTATTCAGCATATATAATACAGTACAGTACATACGTGAGTATGAATGGGTGATGACAGTAAATAATGTGGAGACAGGTTGAATGAGTGACGTCAAGAAGTATTGTTCCATTTTATTTGGCCTGTAATTTTAATAAATAACGATTTTTTATAGGCACCCGTGACACATTGTGTTTACACATTGTCTACTTTATTGTCAATATTTGAGTTGTGGGAATTTTGTGGGTTAATTTTAAGCTATTTCTGCATACATACTTTTATGCTTTTGTGCTGTTTTTGGCAATATGTAAATGTCAGGAATTGCTAAAATTGACATATAACTTTTAAATACTTCTATCTATTTAAAGGTGAATGTTAGCTTTTGCCTAAGAAGGGTCATACTTTTGGCAATTAGGTTTTGTAAATAATTAGGTAAAGAACTAAAAAAAGCTAAATGATTATGATAATAATAAGATAATAACAGCAGTATTTTTTATAGTAATAGTGACAGTAATGTACATTCATATTTTCAGTCCAAGTACAGAAAGAAACAAAGTCCCAGCTTTGGCGGAAAAACCAGCAGCTCAGCACTGTTCCATACATCCTGGTTTAGACCACTCCCTTCTCTCACCGACAGGGGGACGTCCTTTATTGTAATACAGCTCCTCAGCTCCATCAAAGTAACCACAGGTCTAATACAGTTTATTTCTGTTTATTTCCTGTGCATCCCATAATTTTACCAGGCCCAGATGTAATCTCCACATGTGCCCCACACTGTGTGAATATAAAACATTGATAGATAGAATTTGATTCACTTTATTAATGCAGAAAACGCGTGATGGGTTTTAGAGCTAGCACAGAAATAAGTAAAAGTCAATGAATAGAATACCAAAAGAAATGCCTAAGAATTGTGTGTCACAGGTGAAAAGGAAAAAAAACAGCCCCCTGTTAAAATATCTCCCACACACTCACTAAGTTGTGCTGCCAAACCATAGGATGAAGCAGCTCAGCTTTATCTGTAGTGATGCCAGTGTCTAAGGTGTAAATATATTCAGCTTATGTAACAGCAGCTAACCCAGTGGCCAGTTTATTTGTCAGTGGTGAGCGTTATATTACATGTGTATTTACAGAAGTAGGGCTACGTGAACCCACCAGGACACGTTTAAAGATACACCCCTAAATTTACTAGGTGTAATTTTAGTTTACAGAAAACCCTCGTCAGTCATCTCCAGCCTCTGGCCTGAAGCCCTGTGGATCCAGACCCACCCAGCACATAATTACGGTATGTTAATGTTTCCTCTGATTGGTGGTGGTCTGTTGACTTTTGACCTCTATATGTATTCAGATAAGGTTAAATTAAATCATGTTGTTTTTCTTTGTCCAGGTGGTTAATAAGGTGTTGGTAGGAGGAACATTTGAGATTCTTCTTTTTTTCTTTTTTGTTAGTTGACAATTATATTAAATTTAATTTCTACCATCCAATCATTTGTTAGAGTGATAGGGGTCAGGGGTGAGGGGTCAGTGGAGGCAGGGACAGGGTTACACCCTTGACAGTTTCACCAGTCCATTAAAAGGATCACAAATACAAACTAACAACTATTAACATGTTTTCTCCTAGGTTCAATTTAGAGTAAACAATTGACCTTTTTTTACCTTTACCTTTTATCAAAATTAATTGAACAGTTGAAAGCTGATTCAAACAATTCTGAACCACCTTTAAGTATTAAAATATGTAGACAAAGGGAATGCAATGGGCCTCTGCCCCTCACTTTGGGAACCCCTGCTGTAAGGCCAGAGCATTAAGAACTCTTTCACAGTTAGGATCTGAAAATGTGATTGTGTTTGTATTTCAATTTTTTATTTTTTTATTTTTTTACATGTTTTGCATTACTTTTACTTTGAAGTCCAACGGTGGCAGCTAGGAGACGCCTGACGTGTGTTGTTGATGATGACCTTAATCGGTTGTAAGGTTGCATTTGTGCATGTGTGTTGCACACGTTTGACAGCAGTTGGATCATAGAACAGGTGTCAATAGCCAAGTGCTGCAGCAACAACAGACACTCGTATCCACCATCAAGATGCTCTTTGTATACGTCTCTCTCACACACACACACACACACTCATTCACCGTCAGTATGTAGAGCAGGTCTTTCTGGGGTGTCAGCTGTTTGGTCACAGCACCTGTGAGCCGTCACTCAGAGCAGCGCTGACGATTTAAGAGCAGTCATTGTCTCTGCTGCTCCTGGGTGACTCAGTGTTTGAAGGTAAACAACTGAACTGAACTTGCTGAGCTGCAGTGAAAAAATTAGTCAAACCCTCACACACACGCACAGACAGACACACACCAGGCTCTTTGTCTGGGAAATGAACCACAGTCATGTGACATGTTTGGGGTTAAACCACGTTTCAGAAACCCTTCCATTCACACTAGATCTATACATACGTGTCATATGGACTGCATGCAGTGACATCAGGTGTAACCATGATCCATTGCTCCTGCAGGTGCCGTATTTAGCCCTAATCCTGAATTTAACCCTTTGCCCCTTTAATACGTGGAGAGACTGTAGTATAAACAAGGCAGTCAAGCTGCTGCTGCAACAGCCCATAATCTGCTTCACACCAACCAAGAACCATGTTTAAACTCAAGCTCTGGCTGTAACTGTTTGTCTGTGTGGAGTGTGTGTGTGTGTGGGTTTTCTCCATATACTCCACTGACAATTAAAAAAACAAATCTATTACAACGCGTCTGTTTCACACAGTGTTTGCTAAAGTATGTTCTCTATTTTTTAACAGTGGTAAAATGTCTAAAACTACTAAGATGTTCCTTATTTTGTGTTTCAGGAGCAAATATAGGATGTATTTTTGGCAACCTAAGGTGCCTTCACCGACTGGTTACCTATGGCATGAGCTGAATTCACCAACAGAGGGCAGTAATAGCATAATTTTGCTATACTGCAGGTAGTAATTCTGTGTTTTTATCTAACTACTGTATGTCTAACTAAATTAACTCTTTAGATGTCATTTTATACCGTCAGTGCAAGTCTGTTCAAAAGTGTGTCTAAGATTTAAAATTATTACCAGGCCCTCACGGCCCTTGATCTAAATAAAAGTACAGTGTGGTTATTTCTGAGTCTGTACTGTTCTGCAGCTGCAGGTTCAGACAGCAGAGGTCTCCCCTCACCTCAGACTGAAACCTATCACTAACAGATCCATCATGAGAAGCTGCTTATGAACCTTGTATTCAACTCAGAGTGAGAGAGTGACAGTGATGGACTTTTTCTGTCCCTGAAGCAAATCTGCCTTTCTGTCAGAACAAGGCAAGTGACAAGTGATACATTCCTGTTGACTCTTATTAGGAATTCATATTTTTACTAGATACTAGATTTTTCAATAACTTTCTGCTCTTCCTGTAACTTTTTTTCTTTAATTATCCTCCTGCTTTCAACTTCTGTCCTCAAACTTCCTCCTTCCTGGTTGTTTCTCCCCCCTGGGATTCTCCAAAATGGAACACTTTGTTAGAACTGTGTCAGTCAGTGACCTGATTCAGTTTCCTGCTGTCTCTCATCTTAAGGTGATTCCCACTATTGCAGCATTAGTACAGAAACTTGCAGCAGACATGCGGCAGCTTGAAACCATAAATGGCTTCTTTTTTTAAATGAATGAACAAATGAACAGAGCTCACGTTCAGCTGTTGTACTAGGATTTTTTTTTTGTCATGCAGCAAGTTGCTCCTTAGAGAAAAATACAGAAGTTCTTATTACCGATTTACTGCCAAAAGATTCATATCATTATCGTTTTCATTGTATATTATAAGCTGAGATGCTTCTACTGCATAGTATATGCCAGAAATGTAGATTATAGAAGTTTTCATGCAATATATATCTTATAATTTGATTCCATATGCACATAACTGAAAGAATGTTTGCTTTGAAGTTTTTTGTTTTTTTTTTTGGTCTTTAAACTCTAATATTCCTTCTTCTCTTTCAGCCCACAGTCAAAGTCTGATTTATTACTAAGTGAGTATTAACCTGCAAGATATTTGCTTTGGTGCAGAACAAAACAGTAACAGGAACATGTGATGAAAAATTACAAGAGGATTTGGAATCAATAAGGATTAAATTTAGGAAAATAAGAGAAAAACAGGAACTGTAGTAGAAAGGTGTGATGATAGCAAGTTTGAATCAGGGCACTATGGTGTGGTGTCACTACAGGCTCGTTTGACTCTGTCACTCATCTTTTGAGTGTCACTAGATGGCAGTGTAATGGAAACAATTCCAAATCCTAAAATGGTATTTATCTGCTTCTATACCATTTCACATTCACAGCATTTAAAAGCAGGTCTGTCCTTAATTTTAGCACCATTTTAGTTATACTATTTTCTATAGCAGACAAATTGTGTAATTTTACACCAGAATACAACCAATGTTACAATAATTTCAATATTTTATAGGTTTGCAATGTGGTCAGATAGTCCTTTTCACAAGGCACCTAATTATATTTTAAACCGCCTAATCTGTTTCTGTTGGATTCTGTATTCTAGCCTGCAATATGTTTTGTTTATCCCTGTTTATAATCAAACTATGTTTTCATATTTTTCCTATATATATCTGGGGGGCAGGGGGGTTGTTTGTTTTTGTGCACCCTCAATCTTAATTAAATACAGAGGATGAGCAGCACATATAAGATCCTTTTGTTCAGTTTTCTGTACTGTTTTTTTTTTTTTCAGAGGATGGGCTTTTGTCTCCCTTTCTGATGAGAGTTTTTAGAGGTTACCAAGGCAACTGTTGAATTCAGTTTCATTTTAGCTGCTGGGTTTGTCTTGTACATGTTCACAGCACCATCATATTCGAGGCAAATTCATTCCTGGCACTGATCAGCAGTACACGCCGGTCTTTGTTCATGGAAAAAGAATTTAGTTGTTTGTGTAGAATTGTAGAGTTTTTTTATTATATTATTGTTAATTTTAATGTATTTAGTTCGAACAGGAATGTGTCAGTAGTGAATAGTAAATTAAGATAAAGATTTAGTAATTTATTTGTCATTGTTGCACAGCATGTGTTCTCTGCATTCAACCAATCCCCATAGTGAGCAGGGAAACGGTGGTTCCTGAGTCACGTCGATGAATGCAACAGGTTGAAACCAAATTATCTGTCTATTTTTACACGCACACGTCTCTTTTTACTGTAGTAGTTTCAGTAACAGTTTGTTAAGTTTTAGGGCAGTTTTTATGACTTTGTACCGTTTTTTTTTTCAAGTTAGCTATGCGTTTTAGCTTGTGGCTAATTCTATGTTTGTAAATTCTTTGATCAATGTCAGCTGTTTTCTATTAATTCTGCTCTAAGTGTATTTATTTCAAGGCTACCCTTTTCTTCTTTCTTTCTATTTAAGACTTTTTTTGCTCTTTCTACGGAACGTTTTGGTAAGTTTTGGAGATCCTAATATACAGTTAGCTGGTGGCTATTTATTTTGCAAGTTTAGTTTGACCTATTTCTTTATGTTGTTAAAAATATTTTAAATATCTGGTGGCCAGTGTTTCCTATTTCCCTATTTTAGACAACGCTAACATCTAGAACCAAACAGAAATTAGCCTAGCTGCCCATTTCCCATGAAGAACTTACTAAAGCATTTTAAACAGTTATTTACTGGGCCAATAAAATCCTACCACCTGGGAATTCAAGATTAAAAACCAAAATGAGCCATGTAAGCCTGGACTTCTTGTTTATTTACCCTTTTTTTTATTTTTTATAAAAGGTTCATCATATCATATTTAAATAGGCAGAAGAAAGGAAATAGTATTAACTCCCAGAGAGGCTAGACATTTACTGAAATTATCCCCATGTTGCCACCTCCACAACATCTTTAGCTACAATCAACTCTGGGGCATTTAATGTCCTTTCACTGTTTTATGAGTGAAATTTACAGCCTTCTGCCCATCTCCCCCCGCCTTGTCTTTGGCATTGTCCTGAGGAGGAGGGTCACTGCGGATTTGCTCAGAAAGGAATTACCTTTTAAAGATGTCAGTGCTGCCGACATCAGTGTGAACACTAACAAGTGTCTTTCACATCATTTGAATGTCTCAGCATTCCTGATTCCCCTACCTGGATTTTAGTGCCTTCTAATATCAACCAAACAGTCTCTGTTCAGTTTTTTTGTTTTTTATACTTGTCGTTTGTTTGTTGCACTGTAAGATGCTGGTGCTGCGTTAGCGTTGCTGTCATTCATTTGTGCTCAATGGAAGATCAGTGAGTCGTTTAAAGAGGCTAATTTAATTTTTACATTTGTGCTCATGTGGTGGGGGTGGGAGTTATCGTTCAGCCGTGTGCACAATGTGCCAGGGGTTATAATTAACGTTACAAATGCAGGACACGTAGGCTATCATTACTGCTAATGTCTATCATGCCAATACCGATGTAATATCTGCAAGAGAATACAAAACACTTAAGTGCTTGTGTGTAGCAGTAGTAGTATTTGTCTGGATTTATGTGTGTAACAGACCAGACATGTCTGATAATGTGTGTGCGCGCATGTGTGTATGTTTCCGTAGTACTAGCACAGCTGCAGTAAAGCCCATCCCCTGCTTCCTTCTTCAATGAGACTTCCATCCTGGTAGTGAGGAGAGAAGCTGCACCATTGGCCACTCCCCTCTCTTCTGGTATTGGAGAGGAAAGGACGCCTCCCTCCCCTCTTAAATTGGTATGCAGGGGACACAGTTTATATGTGTATGTTCATATTGTTATTAGGTAATGGGGACAACTTGTGTTTTTAAGCTGTTGTTTGCTAAATTTGACATAAGCAGGTAAAATACAGTTAAAGTGCAGACAAGGAACTGATGTTGTTTTTTCTTGTAGATGCAAAGTTTTATCCTGAAGAAACTGGTAAATGAAAACAGGTAAATGCATGCTAAAAGAATTGACTTTAGCGTTGTATCCTGAAACACCACCCCGCCCCTCTTTTCTCCACATTCCATTTTAAAATATCCTGTCCTAACATTAATACAATGAGGCGTGACTCTGAGTGTCACGGTAGGACATCTTGCTTTATGTGAGAACAAATTGTGTCATTTTATGGTCTTGAAGGTCAAAAAGTACGTTCAAAGTAAATCACTTGTTTTTAGTCCATACACAGGCCGTCAGTGACACAAAATTGGTTTTAATTTAGAGATTTCACGCTCTAAGACACCTCTAAGACTCTGCTAAGATTATCCAACCAAATTTACCCATCTCTGTTGTTCTTCATTGGGTTGTAACAGAAGTTGTACACCTTCTGGGCTTTATTACTGCCACCTGTTGGGTCTGTTGTTCCCTTAAAAACAAATAACCAGAATTGTTCAATTTACTTGGAAACAACTGGAAGAAGAATCCCTTTGCCTTCTGGCTTTAATGGGGGGTCGCTACAACGATAGTCCCCATAGTGACCTGGCAGAGCTTTCATACCAGATGCTCTTCCTGACGTAACCAACGTGGGTGTTGTCGAACCCAGAGCCTTTGTTGCAGGTAGGTTTCCTATCGATGCTTCACTCTCGCTCTGCTTACAAAAGAAGAAGATTTGAAAATACAGTCAGAGGGTAGCAGCCCTGCTGATGATACACCATCATATACTTCCTGTTATGAATTTCTATTATTATTGTTGTTATTGTGGGTGTATTAAAAAGGTGATCTACACACATTATTCAATGCAGTAACTCTTTTCAGACAATAAATATTCAAAAATAAGATCAGCTTCTGTACCTAAATGCTGTGTTAATGCAGTTTGTTACAAGCTGTCCTCACAACTACAGCGAGATGTTTTCATGTGTGCCTCAGCCTGTGTGTTTGTGTGTGAGTAGAGGAAAGGGAGAGGCAGCAGTCAGTGCCGTGGGATAGAGGATAAAGAGAGAGAGGAAGGAGGAGGAGTAGGAGAGTGAATGAGAAGCTGCTGGCTGTGCCTTGCTGCTGCATGTCTGCCGTCTGCTGCTGCTGCTGAAGCTGGTGTTTTTTTTCTTCCTCCTCACAGCCACACCGCACTGGTTCTGGGCGCAGCCACGGCTCCAACATCCACACTCTTCTTCACACTGGCGAGGAGAGAAAAGGCAAAGGGACGTGCTCAGCAGGATTTCTCCATCAACCGACGAGGGGACGCAGCAGCTGCAAAGGGGGCCTGACTCTACAATTTAGGCAGCAGCTGCTTCCTCAACCAAACCCCCTTCCACCTTATCTCATCCTTTACACCACCACCACCACCTCCTCCTCCTCTCCTCTTCTGATCCTCCCTATGCCCTTGTCCTCGGTGGCTCCACTCACCTCCCTGGCCAGTATATGGATAGAAGCTCCCTGTTTCAGCTCATACAAGAGCAGGTAAGCCACTGAGCAGTTGAGGTTTCTATGGTTACAGGCTCCTGACCACCTCTTTCCAGGGATGGAGACGTGGAGGCTGGAGGTGAGAGGGATTGACTGCACAAATTGAGAGACTGGTGATGGATGAGAACGTTGTGGAACCATGCGGGTCCTGGGGATGTGTGGTCCAGTGAGTCACAGCAGGAGGCTGGGTATCATGTCACGGTCTGTTGGAGGAGTATTCTGTGTGGAAATAGATTGACGTGTCATTATCTGTACAGGTGGACTAATGTCCTGCATTCAGCGTGTATAGAAATGGATATAACAATGACACATTTACCCAGATGTTAAAGCTGATGCATTGGCTTGCGGCAGTTCTGCTGTATGATGCTGAGTGGGTGTGTGTGTTGTGTGGGCGTGTGTGTATGTGTGTGTGAGTAAATCTTCCTGTTTACTTACCCCTGCCTTCAGAATAGAAGCTGTGATTTGACTTTCACACCGCGCCCCCTTCTCTCTCTCTCGGTTTCTGTCATGTATGGATAATCACGGTGCTGCCAGCTGCATACAGTGTCAAATGGTAATTTTAGCATCTGGATTTCTAGAGCCATCCACCCCAAAGTCCTGTGTTTTTTACTGACCAAACAAATCTATGTTTAGCTCTGGTCTACCATCGCTGCATTTAACAAGGCAGCACAGATGTGGACAGAGTTGTTCTGTGTGTATTTACACACTGACATATGGGAGACTGTGAGCTTCATGGTCTGCTCCCATGTCTGGAATTATTGTTATTTGTAGTAGAATTTTAGGTTTGTACTCAGCTTCTCTGATGCAGTTGATGTTCCGTGGTCCATGAGTGGAGTACAGTCTGTGTCATTTCTGCTCTTCAGTCTTAAGTTTTCACTAAAAAACAAACAAATTGTTTTTAAGCCTATACATGTTCATGTTCTAATGAATATTAGGACAAGAAGAACACAAATGCAGCATGTATTTACGAATAGTAAAGTCAAGATAATGTGGAGCTAGACTTGAAACTTTTTTTTTTTCGTTATTGCCGCTATCAATGTTTTTGCGCTACTGAAAATTGTTATTTTAGAGATTTAGTTACATTATCCCCCAAGTTTTGGCAGCAACTTTTAACCCTTGAGTTGCTTTGCTACTAGTGAGCAAGTCTAATTTTATCACTGATTTCCAAAATACCAGCCATAAATACCTTGGCTGGCATTTTCCTTTAATAATGACTGAGAGGATCACTTGTCTGTTTGTCTGTTCTTTTCGTATGTGTAGGTATCTTTGTTGATGGACAGACACATTGGTCAGTCATTCTTGTCCAAAAAACAGGAATTGATTTTCTGCTGCAAGGGTTTAGGGCTCACGAGTGGCCCATCAGCAACATATTGATCATGGAACCCCAGAGGCTCAGTGTGTGTGTGTAAGTTAGTGTGTGAGTGCTTGCTGCATTTTTATGAATGTGTGAGTGGGAGAAGCCCATGAGGATAGAGTGAGAACATGCTCTGTGGTCAAACTGTTGATTCATTTTCAATACGAGCACTTTAATAATAACAACTGCAGCACTTAGTAAAACCTCAGCGGTGCTTATTTCTTCACAGACAGCTTGTAAATGCAGTATCAAAGAGTCTGACTCATCCCTGTCAATATTCATTATGTAGCTGCAGGTCTGGACTGTAGATGAAGCCAATATTTCCACGTTGTAAACACACAGCTGTTACACCGACTGTAAAGCCTGGAACTGCGCTCAAGTGGACTGCTGCTGAGCAGACCACAGTCCTATTTCACTCACATCTAGACCAAATCACCACCACTGGCTGCTGAAAGGCATTTCCCACTCTTGTGACGAGTGGTGGCTTTTGATTTGGACTAAAGCTCCGTAGTTACACTCAAATGAGGCATTTTCAGCCCACACACACACACCTTTCAGATTTGGAGTGGGCAGCCTGGTTTTTAACCCAGTCTTTCCTTGGTTCTGAACACTGGACACATGTTTGTTTTGCCTCCTGTTCTCACAGCTCTGTCCTTCCTATATTTATACTTTGCATTTATTTGAGGTTCTTTACTGATTCTACAGGATCATATCAGCTGTTATAGTACCAACAAGAAAGACTGCAGGTTTGCCTTAAAGGCCTCTTAAAGGAGGAAACTGGCAGTTTTCACACACACTGTCCTGCAGTTTGAGGTCAGTGTGTACTGTCATCGGTTTTATAAAGACTTAGACTTAGACCATATCCAAAAATTCACTCTTCATTATTGTCTCACCCCTTGAGTATGTTTACCAAGAAATATATATATTTGCCTAAACGGGTACAGTTGTCACTGTCACCTGCAGAACGATTTAGTTTTGGAGCAACCTTATTTCCTATTTTATTTTCTGCTGATACGTGCGCTACTAGCTGAACTAGGAAAAACACAACAAAAACAAAGGCTTGTGTTGAAAAATGGATGAAATTTGTTCCCTTACGTGGAATTAGTTCCAAGTGACAGCATTACCTTATCAAAGTTACTGCTTACTTTTACACCATTTGCTTTTAACCTGCACTTGTTTTTGATTGTGTTCATTTAAACTGCCACTGGTACAACATTGTTTTAGAGCCTCTAAACTTTAATGCCAGTGCCTGGCATTTGCCTACATCAGTGTGGGATGCTTTGCATACAAATTCTCTGAGCACTGCAGGTCTGAAGCGGAGCATCTAATGTGGCGCTATCACACTGAACCACACGAAAATGCTGCAGGGAGGTAAAGCAGGGGGGGCAACAGTGCCACGGGAGCGAGTTTATTTGTCTTCATCTGCAGGAAGTAGTGATGCTGAGCTGGGTGCTATTTCTGGAGTGTGCACGTTCACATGTAAGCTGAGAATCACATATAAACAGAACAACATACCAAAACACTTCCTCTGATAGTCGCTCCACTGCAGTGCCATTGATAAAGCAAGTGAATGGTCTGTAGCACTCAGCAGTTAGAGTACACTATCATTATTTGCTCAATATCTCCCCCTGTGTCATTCAGTTCTTATCAAGCTTATTTATAGCCCTGCCTTAAGGACTTGGGTGCTGTGTATTACTACCACGACTTATTTAGTGTATCAACTAGAAGCTCACTGCTGACTTTTCATCATTCTCTGATGCTGGTTTTTTTACTCAGAGGTATTTAAAATATCCTGCAGTTGTTTGAAGGCTAAGTTCTCCAACTGAAGAAAGCCTGGTTTCACATCTCAGTGCAGCCACATTTCAGAGCCACAGTAGTGAAGTTTAGGTGCAATGATGGTAACAGCGGTGCAGGACATGAATTGTGAAAACTCATTAGAGCCGTGGCACTGTTGCTGCTGAGCACCAGCCAGTGCCCAGGGGGCAGGAGAAGCGATTCAAAGGCTTTTTTTAATCTGATGCCATGCAAATATGTGAGGTGCTCTGTAAATGTCACTACCCTCTGCCGAAATAGAGCCTGTTCAGGCTTCACAGGACTCTTCACACAGACCAAAAGGAGCCTGAAGCGTTGGTTTTATCACACTGGGTTACCACTGTGTCACCGTCATTAGACCTGGGAGCCCAGCCTCATCCCAAGTCCCACATTCAGACCAGTTATGGCCCTTGAACATGTTTTATGTGGCCCTTGACTTACATGTATTATATTTATGGTCTGCCAACAGCTAATAAATCTTACAAGCACAGGTTTTAATCCATCTCTTAAGGTTTGAAGCCAACAATGCTTTGCTTTGCTTGCCTTGTGAGTCAAGGTCTAATGTAACCAAATGGAATGTGCCAAATAATGCTGAAGTACCAGCAAACATGGCCTTATTAAAAGTAAAACTATGTGAGCTACAAGGAAATGACATTTGTTGTTAAATCTGTGTCTGGAAATAATGAGAAATGCAGAATAAGAAGCTATTGATCACGACTTTGAAAACTCTAAAAGATTGATTTTCAATCTTCAACACGTCTTGATTATTTCAATCAAAAAGAAGAAAGTTAACAGTCGAACCACACATTTAGAGGGTAGTTAATGTGTGATGTCAGGCTCATTGATTAGTCCGGTTAAGAGTTTCTTTTTAGAAGGCTGTGTAATTGACTGTAGGATGTAGGTTTTGCCAGATTCCTCAGCTGTCTGCTGACTGTCCTGGTTTGTCCAGGTTAGAGAAGTAGTTCCTGAGTCTCTGTGGACCAGACTGATAAAGCAGTCTGTGGTCTGGGGTCAGTCTGAGTTGCTGCACTGAAAGTAATCGAGGTCCTGGGGGTTAACATTGAGATCATTCTATTGCAGTCAGCGTTTCACTCCTCTCTGACCTCTTCCTCCTCCTCCTCCTCCTCCTCCTACTCATGTATACGTTTTCATTCTGTCGGTTCCAGATCCACTCCATTGAGCAGGAGAACAGCAGACTTTATTTACAACAGTTTTTTAAAAAACAAAAAGTAACCCCCTTTTAAAGTATGACAAACTGTTGAAGCCCTATTTACATACATAAAAATAAAAAAGATAAATATAGCAGAAGCTGTACTGTTGAGATTCCTAAAAACAAAACCAGCCACGTTTGTTTGTTCACGGTTAACATTCATTAGAACAGTGAGGATAATATGTATGTGTATGTACAAATATACATAAATGCCTGTTTTATACATATTTATCTCTTTGTAAAGGCAGGCTAATAGAAAGGGCAGTTATTGCTTAATTACAGTAATTATAACTAACTTTGTGACTAATCCAAATGATAAAATTGATTATATGGAAAAATGTCAAGAAAAATATGCAAAATAGTGTACTCATAATGAATGTGTCTAAATGAGAAAATGAGTATTGAATAATTGGACGTACAGCGCTCTGTCTTTATCTCTACATTAAAGATAATTAACATGTGGTTCTCCAACTGGCTATTGTTCAAAACCAATAGGTATCCTTGATCACGTTTATTCTGACTTAAGTTTAAGCAAAAGAAAATGCTGATTTTGTTTTTTTTTTTAAGTAAAACCTGATTTCTCTGACCAATGTAATGAAGTCTTTGAAATGTCCTGCAGAAAGAAACCAAACATGGCCTGTTCACTAACTCCACCATCGATCCATTATCCACCAGCCACGCCTCCCTCCACATCTAATCCACGTCTTTGTCTACCACGTCACTCCTGCCTCATTGGTCTCTTTAAGCCCCACCATTTTCCACAGCTGCTCAGACATCCTTCTGTCTTTCATCGTCTCTCTACCTCTTTTCCTATCCTTAGACTTCTAAAAGCCACTGTGTCGGGGGGAAACGAGGGTGAGACATAAGAAAAGTGTGACACACAGGCGACTGGTAACCATGGAAACACCCACAGCTTGTGTCCCTCTCACCAATGTTGGATCATTTCAATAACAGCTTCTCTCTGTCTGTGTGGGGTTTTTTTTTAACTTCCCGTTCTCTTTCCTCTCTTATTCAGACACATCACCCCTGGAGTGTCCTAAGAAAAAGCAGACTCTTCTTGCCAACAGTCATTCATCTGACTATGCCTCGTCTCACTAATTGATAACGCTAATTGGGTACAAGACCCAATCCTCCACATCTTTATATCCTCAGCAGACAGACCCCTCTGTGTAACATTCTTCCTCAGTAAGGCCAGACAATGAAGGTATCTGTGCACTGTGACAGCTCAGCATCAACACTGGCTGTGCTGTAATGTGCACAGCCATATACAGTGAGCCTCTGTGTGTTTCTGAGGCGCTACTGCTGCTGCTGCTGCTCTATGTGTAGTGATGTGCTGACATATGGAGGCTGACAGTTATCAGACGTCCCCAGTGTGGCTCTCTGTTCCCCCTGTCAGGCTGGGCTGAGCCAGAAGCGCATTAGAATCTGATCTATCTCCCCTCGGCAGCAAGTGGATGCAGAGTGCTGGAGTGTGTCACAGTCCTCTTAGAGAGTACCAGGACTTTGCTGGCTGACTGCTGGGCTCGTCAGACGTGGAGAGTAACAGCATTTTTATTCTCTGCATGTCTTTTGTTTTATTTCGGTCTTGCCTCCACACTTGCTGCTCTTGCTCTTCTCCTCCTGCTCTCATTTACGGACTGTTCCACTGCACTTACTGACCACGTCTCCACACTTTTGGTCTCTCTGCTGCCTTTGTTTTTTTTTTAATTCTCTACTACCCTCTGTACTCTTCACATCTCAAAACACCAGCTCTATCTGCTCCACTTTACCTGGCTCTCCTCCATCTCCAGGGATGAATGTGTTAACAAACATCCACGGACCTCCCAGTTAAAGGGATTACCTAAAAATAGATCTGGGGCTGTTTAGTTTCTCCTCAACTTTAGTCACAATGTGGGCTTTAGGTGCATTGGTGTGTGACATTATTCAGGGACGAGGACGTCCTGTGCACACATGAAAGAAACTGGGCACTTGTTCTACATATAGCAATGAATTCAGGCCCTATGTAACCCACATTATGTATTTAGAAAGTGGACCACATCAAAACTGAGCATGAACTAAAATAAGCCCTAATCAAAAAAAAACTTGCTCCCACCTAATGGCCAAAAAAGCCAAACCCGTGGCCCCTAATCTGATTACTAGAATGTGTTCCAGAGGAAACGGATACGTGGCTGTAGCTGTGATAAGTGAAACAGTTTGTGTGGGTCACTGCACCGAAACAATTCTGGTTATATTGAAATGTGATCAGTGGCAGAGACTAATTATTCCTGATCTGTTTCTTAGATCTGTTCCCAATGGTTGTGTTCTGTCATCGGAGCTGTGTCTGTGAATAACCCAAGGCTTCTACTGAGAAGTTTATACAAATGTTTGATCTACTCTGAGACGTGTAAACGTCATTATCTGGTGCTGTTCTATGTATTTCCTTGCCTTTAAAAATTGTGTACTTTTAAGTCTTGTGGGTACGGCTGAAAGTGTCTTTTGCTCTTGTGAGCTATTTTAAATAACTTCCATAATATTTTATTCTGCTAAAACATCTGTTTTGAAGGGGATTTTGTTGGAAGTGAAGCCCACTACAGGGAGCGCCAAAATATGGCAAACTTTGGTTTTGAGTTTGTGAACCACTTTCTAGAACCAGAATGCATTGCAGTCAATGGGCCAAGTAAAACTGTCTTCAATGGTATGAACGTAGATTGACTTTACATGGCCTTTGTTTTGTTATGTTGTACATTGTGTTGCCCATCATGAGGCTTAGAGTAATCCAGAATGGTTGAGATTTGTTGCCCAACTTGTGAACCCTTCTTATTTGTGTACAAAAGTATTACAACAGAGCATCATCATCCCACTATGTGTCGAATTGGGTCTTTCTGAACAAGCTCATTAGTCACTGCCTCCTTTGAACTCTCCCAGGTGGATTAATAATAGTAAACACTGAAGAGAACAAAAAAGTAGATTAAAAGTAATGAGTGTTTAACTAAATGACTATACAACCTCTGAGAACACTGTAGAGGGAGTCAAAGCCCACCGAGCAAACATGCACAGAAGTAGAATGATCTTCTTTCCTTCTTGGCTGAGTAGTAGAGCTCTAAGCTCTGAGCCTCCGCAGCAGAGTCTAACACGCTGCCGCCGCCGTTTAATGCTGCTCCCCTCATGCAGCGGGTGTAATTCAGGCGTCTCAACTCCTCAGAGCAGGACATGTCCAGACTATAGCAGCCTAGGTGGGATTCTCCTTGCACACACGACATGGGCAGAGATGATCCAAGCGTGACTGACTTCACTCTGATGCAATATCCGAAAACAAGCTATCCTCCCTGAGGCTACAGGAGGCTGTTGGTTTAATGGTTGCAATTCTAATGAAGCACTGTTAACATTCAGGAAACAGTCAAATGAGGAGCAGCAAGGTCTCTTTCCATGTTGTCCCTTTGTGTTTGTCTAAGTTCTCCACACAGTCATGTCCCTAGAGACGGGTGCAAAGAAAGAAAAAACAGTTCTTTGACGAGCAACTTAATGGCAAGTTAGAGCAGTGTAGAACATCAAGTCATACTGTATGTAAGTTAAGGCGCTGCCCAGAAAAGCCACATTACATAAACCACACTGCCTACATTTTCCAAGCCATTTTTAAACTGTCACTATTTCAGACAACTGGACTGTTTTTATGACACTCTGCAGCTCACATCGATTACGAACTGCAACGGCAGCAGTAACCCATGTGGCTGTGGGTTTCAGCGAGTGGTGATTATGAAACAACACGTTGAACAGCAAACCAGACCGAGGACAAAAGTTGGAGTTACCGCTCTGTGAGCCAAAATTGAACTTGATGAAACGCAGAATTTCACAGCTTAGCTTATGCCTTTTTTTCTTTTTTTTACCAAAGTGGCATCTCTGACTTTGAAACTGCATATTATTGCATATTTTTATCTTGATTTGATTAAAAGTTCATCTTTTTATGTTTACATTACATTGTACAGGCTGTCAGTGTTTTTATGCTTGTGTACATGGCCTAGTTCTGTTCCTATGAAAATATTGATCCCTTTACGGACCAGTGTGAGGGCTACATTCAGGTTCAAAAACATACAAATTAGTGGATAGCTGTCCTCCCCACACTCCTCTCTCCCCTGGGGACACAGACGCTCTTATACCTTGGAAAAACAGGCTTCTCTTTGATGCATTTCTGTGATTTGTCAGGTCAAAGGCCCTGTTTTACCGAGAATAAAAGCAGATCTTAGGAAGTATTTGCGCTGATATGTTGTTGATTTACAGTGCATTAAACACCAATGGTATTTTAACGAAATTGATCCACATCACTCAGAAAAACTCACAGACGTTACCTTAATTTAATATCAGTGTCAGAGTTTGAGCCATTTTCCCTGTGGCTCTCTTTGTCTTATAGCATCCATTAATCTCTGTGCTCTGCCTCTGATGCTTCTCCCCCGTGGCAAGAGCTGTTATTTTTATGATTATTACCTTGTTTTTTTTTCTTTTTTTTCAGCTGGACCCAGAGAACACCGGTTTCATTGCAGTGGAGAACTTCACTAGCTTGGTGGAGGACCATGAGCTGCAGCTGGACCCGTCTAAACTGGACATGCTGCTAGCCCTCGTCCAGAGCAATGAAGAAGGACAAGTGTGCTACCAGGAGCTCATTGAGCTGGTGAGTGCACAGCCCACCCTCCCCGAGAGGAAAAAATCCCACTCTTTTGTTTAAATTTTTGAAAAGGGTAGAGAATTGATTCAGACAGAGGCAGTCGGTTCTGCAGTGGCAGAAATTGACTGGACCATTCAGGTCATTGTCCTGCAAGAGGAGGATCAATCTCTCCAGTTAATGTGTCAGTAAATCCAGACACTTAACTTCACAAGGTTCCCACAGCAGGTGCTACAAAATAGTACCAAGCTCAGAAAACAGCATTAAAGGATGAGTTCAGTTTTTTTTTTTTTGCTCAGACTGGTTCTAATAAGTTCTGACAGACGTGCATTGCCAGGGTCACTTGTCTTTGCTAAATAAATAGCTGCTACAGCAAAGAACAAGGAGAAACTGATTTCATTCCACTGAACACAAGGTTCATTTAGTAAAATCTATGCCTGAACAGGCCTATCATAGTCTTAGAATTTGTTTTTCACTTTATCACAACATGAGACAAACATTTAACCCGTGACTCCCCAGAGGCTAAAAAGAAAATCATTGATTTTCACATCTGGGCCCACAGGAGTTGTTCAGCTGTGACTGTCTCTATACTTCACTTTGGTGTTTGAAATCTTTTCTTCTAATTTACCTTAGCGATACAGATTTATTAAATGACACTGCAGTAGAGCAGGAGCCCTCTTGTTTCCGACAGCTAAAAGTGCTGACTTTTCTTAACTGGTGTTGGTGCAAGTGTGCAAAATTTAGTTTCAAACTCGACAAAGCTGTCTGAAAAAAGGCATTAAGCAGCAAAAATATGATGGTGTATATATAGCTTTAAGAAGGTGTCTCTTATTTAATAGTTTTAGTACTTTAAAAGGTAAAAAGCATTGTCTAATTAAATTCTACATTAGTATTTGTAGTGAAGTGTTTGACTGCGCTCACAACCCAAAGAAAACCGAATGGCATCATATGTGCCTTTACCTGTTGATCACAGTATTTTTAGACTTCTGACAACAGAACTCTACAGTATGTTTATATAGACTTAAGTTCTCCCTTAGTTTACAGATAAACACTCCATGTCATATTGCCTTTATGATTAACTTTCTCTCAGTCTCAATTCTTTGCCCCTTTGCCTTTGCTATGGCTAAATTCCCTTCTCTCTACTTCATATCTGTTTTGCAACACTTACGTCTTACAAATTCACGCAGTGCTTAAATGCAATGTACGTGGATGGCTGACTCTTCAAAACCTGTGGGACTGTTGGGCGGTAAAAGTACCTTGATTAATTCAATGCACTACCATTTCTGCAGCATTTCCTGAAGTGTCCTTAAGCTCTCTTCCCTCCCTTGTTGCTGTCTATTTCTGTTTATCTGTCTTTATCTGTTGTTATTAGTTTTTAGTTTTAGGGCCGTCCTATCTCTGACCTTCCCTGTTTTCAGTCAGGTTTTCCAATCCTCCTTAATGATTCCTCTTGAACCGTCAGATATCATCTCCTTCTGTTCCATTGCCCACTCCTTATGAGCATATGGTAGGTGAAAAAATAGAAACCTGCATCACCTCTAAACAGCATCTGGGAGAAACTTAAAATGCCCATCAGCCAAATGCAAATTAGCTTCGATTAGCCCTATATGGCTGGAAGCAGTCAGTAATCTGAGGTAATATGAGAATAACCAACTTCACATTGATATCGACTCTACCGAACCTTATTTTTAAAGATTTTTCTGCTGCAGCACACATGAACACATTGTTTTTTTGTTTTTGTTTTTCTGCTTTTGCATCATCAATTAATGCAGCAGTCACTTCCTCATTCCCTCCTTGATGTAGACCGTCTTATAAATCAAGACCAACATACTACGTTCATACACATGAACACTGCTGCTGCAGATTTGCTGACTGATTTAGTGGGTAGTCAAATGTTGATGCGTGTCCTCCGTGCAGCCTGTGATTCTAGAACCTTCCCAAAGTCCCTTTAGGTCTCTGGGCTCAGTTCCAGGCCACCATGTGGACAGTGTCACATGGACCGTGGCATTTTCAAACAGGTCATCAGCAAACACCTCAGGTGCTTGTTCTTACCCTCTCTCCTTGGTCTCTGCTGACTTTTAAAATTTCCATGACACCTTCCAGATTTTTTTGTGTTTCTTGGCTCTCCATTAGATCCATGGGTCCGACTCCCTCCCTCACTGTTTTTTTCACCTCCACACTTTTTGTCACCTCCACACTTTTTCACGTCTGTGTATCTCAGACAGATTTATTGCCAGTGGCACGCAGAGTGTGACAGAGCAGAGTCGTATTTTTGATTTGAAAAGTTCTGTGCTGTCATTATATTATAGTCAGTGCCTAAACTCTGGAGTCTGTATTGATTTGTGGTCTGGCCTCAACTGAAGATTGCACTCCCATATGATTAAATGAAGATGGCAAGGTGTGCGTGTGTGTGTTTCTCTTATGTGGGTTGTGTGTGTGTTTGATTTGTGGTCTGTGGATGCTCAGCATACCAGCTGCTGGGATTACTCAGGTTTCTTTCTTCAATAAGATTGTACAGCAGATGCAGAATGTTAGCATATTTTTTGTTTTACTTAGAAAATAGATAAATGGTAAACTATTTACACAGCTTTAGCGTTTTTAACACTATTTGTTTTAAATGAGTGTGTTTAGGATATGCGTGTTTACCATTGAGGTGCAGCCGGTTGCTATGGTTGTGCAAGGGTAGTTGCACCATGTAGTGTCACATTTGCTGCAGCTTAAATGAAATGCCCTGCAGCCCACGTTTTGTCATTTGTGTTAAAGAAGAGAAACTTTCTACACATTGTGTTGACATTATTGTTTGTAAGTGCATTTTTACACCGTTGATATTTTTAAATCCGCTAAATGAACATTGCTGTATGTTTAAGGCAGTAATTGTATAATAATTTAAATAAATGTAATAATTTGTAATAATTTAGTTTAATATTTTAAACCCATATTGTATAACACTGGTAAGACATTTTGAGCAAATCAAAGGGCATAAAACTTGGTCTAAAAATATTCATGAGCCAAAGGTAAGCTTAGGTACAGGAGCTGAGACAGAAACAGAGTTAATTTATTCTGCATTCTCTCAGTGCCGCTGTAGATCCTGTGAAGGCTGCTCCTGTCGGCCTCAGCGGGTGAAAATGTGTTTTAACCGCTCTGTCAAGCAGCAACTGTGTGTTAGGCCGAGTGTACGTGATAAGAGCCTCTCTGATTTTGTTTACGTTCAACCCGCTTTTCACATGGGGTGATCTCAGCCGGGGGTGGAATAAGTAAACCTCATCCAGCAAATGCAGACACACATACACACTACACGTGTAGTTGGTGTAACTTTTCACTACACTGTTAATATGCATTTGCACAATCTACCCTCGCACTGTGACGATAAATTTAGCATCACGACACATTTCCGCATAATTACACTCAGATATTCTGTCAGCAGAAAAGACTGTGAGACGGCAGAGGGAGCAGCTGCCTCCTGGAGGGGATTTGTCCATCTTAAAGTTAAATATTTCTACATATCTAACCAGTGATTTCTGATAAATAAGTTTACAAAAGACATGTTGTTTGACACAAGACCGTTCCTGAGTTTTCGTGTACCCGACGATGTCATTTGAGGCTCTAACACTCGTAAATGTTTTACGTGCATGTCTTGACGACACCTACGAAGTTTATCATGAACATCTCTTATTCGTTATGTCTTTTTTCTTTATTTGCTTGCATGCTAATACTGTCTAACTCTAACTAAATTAGCATGTTCTTAAGCTGGCTTACTCCCTCTCACACACACACACACACACACAACACATACGACGGAAACCGTTTCTAATTAGCTACTAAGGCTACTATTTTTGTTTTATCGCTAGCTATATATATTTTTTCTAATTGTCACCTTGTGGGTTTTGTGTCCTAGGAAAGCTTTTGTGGACATTGTCCAGTCAGACCGTGTAATTTAAATAAGTAAAGGTCTATTTTAGGAATCATGCAAGTACAAGTTCAGGTATTTTCAGAGTTATTTCAGTCTTAACCCCTTGCTTATTCCTGAACCTGCTGTACACCCTTGAAGATGTCTTAAGGGGCCCCTGTGAATGTTTCTATGGAGACAGATGCTACCTTTCAGCTCATTCAAAGGCTTTCTGTTTTTTAAAGAGCTTCTGTCTCAATACGACGCACTTCGCTTAGGTTTCAAGATATGAAGAGGTTTTTTTTTTTTATTTTAGTTTTAGAAAAGCAATGATTAAACCAAGAGTTAAGTGCTGCTGCTGCTGCTGCTGCTGCTGCTGCTGCTGTTGCTGCTGGCGCTGCGGGTGCGGGCGGGGGGGTGTGGCGGCGGCGGCGGCTGCGGCTGCGCGGTTCGCTCACTAATCCTTGTTTTCCGGACAAAACGGGACGGAAAATCTCCGTATAGTCGACTAAATGGGTGTTTGTCCAGGCTTGTCACGACCCGGTGGCGTGTTGTATGTATATACTGTGTGTGTGTGTGTGTGTGCGCCCGTACAGCCATGTTGGCAGTGACCTTTCCAATATATTAAGGATTTGGTCAAGAAAGAAGTCGAGTATTTGGGTCAGTGTATTGAATCAGCCTGGCTGTGATCTGCACTGATTTAGACTGACTGTATGAAATTTAAAAGAGCCAGCTGAGTAAGTCTGTGCAGGGACTCACAAATTAGATGATAAGTGGATTATGGCGACACTGTTAGCCTGATGGCTGTGAATCAAAAGCTTCATTAAAATTCACAATCATCTCATATTGTCATCCACCTCTTACTTTGGTTGATCTGTTTTTATTGTGCTATTATATGACAAGACTCTAGTTTTATGTTCTTGCCTTTAGGGGTATTTTTGCAACATTTTAAGACAATCTTCTTTTTATGTCCTTTTTGTTGTCTTGAAATTTGTCTGAAAAGTTGTAATTGTTTGCATCACTGTAAATCTAAGATCCAATTTTGGTGGATGACATGTGAAAACACATTTGGCGTAGCATGTTCTAAATGACCCACAAAAAACTTTGGTGTGTTTCCTAAAGGAAGCCCAACTGGACAAACTTTACTTTTCGAAGTCACCATAAGCTCTGGTCTTGCAGATTGTAGTGAAATTGGCAGAGATTTCACAGCCAATTAGTGCGAGCCCTGCTACTACATGATCCTGTTCTGTGTGTCTATCAGCAGAAGTGTGTGTGTGAAAAATGTTCACTTCCATAAACCCCCATCAAAATCAGAGCAGATAATGGATTCGAATTTCTTTTCCAGTCTGTAGTGCAGACGTCTGAATGGCCGTCAAAGCCCTTTAATTGTTATTACTAATTAGTATTGAGCAGGGAGGTATTGACCATATGGTGCTGCTAATTAATCCATCAAGGACAATTGACTTAAGCTGAGTGCAGCATGTACAGTAGCTAGCAAGAAGAGTCGGATGGATCATGGTGTTTACACACACTGATGGACAAACATACACACATTCACACACAAACTGTCCCTAAAGGGTAAAGCTCTCTTTATCTTTGTGCTTCCAGTCGCAGCATCAGTTATTCCCTGGCAGACGTTGCCTCGTCAGGGAACTTCTGCTGTTTCTCCCGCACAAGTCAAAGATCAACCCTTCTTTCCACACACCACTGATGTCATGTGACAGTCAGGGCACTTCACTTCATCACTATCACATCTTTTCATGCAGTTTTAGATGCTACATGTGAGTTTGCCAGTGTCTCTCGTCTCATCCGTCTGCTCTTCATACGTCTGCTAACGGTGACTGTAGAGGCTCCAGCTCTGTGTTCTATAGTAACAAAGTAAAGCAGAATGAGAACCTGGGTCATAGGAGACTAATATTTTAGAGTCGGTATGAATGGAAGAGAATATAGCACACCCAAGAACTGTCATAGTATATACACACACACACACACACAAATATATATATATATATATATATTGTTTTGTCCAATGCTTTGTTTCTTAGATTATTTACCTTTTAGGTTAAACATTTATCAAATTTTGCTGTAGGTTTCAGTAGTGTTCTTAACAAACATCTCCACAATCTTCCAGCTAACCTTTAGATATTTATGGACTGACTTCCAGCTTTATGTTGCTTACAATTTAAACTTGATTATATCTGAGCTAATGTTTACTGAATTTGGTAATCAATTATCTCTATGGCATTGAGTTACATATTTCAAAATTCTCATTTAACTCTTTTCTATGTGTGTTTTAGTTTGTCATTTTTTCTGTCCAATTTTAACAGTTCTGTCTTAAAACTAGACATTTCTCTACCAGGGCCATTTCAGTAAAATATAAAGATGTTTGGAATGAGAAAAGAATCTCACCTTTGCCTGCACTGGTCGCCTGCAGAATCTGTAAATGAGCTCAGTGGAGCAAGCACCTCATATTCCTTTCTTAATTTCCCTCTCCTCTGCCTCCTAATGTCCCTCTACTCTTCTTCCTCCGTATTCACTCGCTGCCTCAAGTACAACTATAATTGCATTTTCCAGGACTGATTTCCATACTAAATACGCATGCCCCCATCTGCGGAGAGCCGGCGGCCGAGCTCAACATCACTCTGGTTATCATAGTGCACCAGGACCTCACAGCCTCCATGTTTAACCACCGGTATCATAATTACTCACTGTGAGGGAAGAACTTACCGCATCCTGTTCTTCAAAAACTCCCAAAAGGGGTTTTCCTCTAGCTGTTTCATAAAAAGGAAGTTTTCTTTTATTCCAGGAACATTCTCTGCGCTGCCTTCTCATTATTTGCTCATTTATTTACAGCCCATGTCCTTCAGTATTTAGCTCATTAGCTTTTATAGATATTGACCCACTATTACTTTCACTGCGGCCCCCGCAGTGTTGACATGTAATGAGGCTAAAAGCAGCAGGATCGGCCTAATGAATTACAACATAGTGCACTTAAACGGTGGGTTGCACTTCGCACGGGTCTCGTTCCATTGCACTTTACATCAGGCTGCTGCTGTCTTGTCTCAGGTTATTATCAAGAATAAGCTAGACACACACACAAACTCACTCGTCATATAAAAGTGTTGACAGTAGCAGCTCCTTCCTCCGTGTCGTCTATCTCCTCCTTTTTTGCTCTTTTCTGGAAAGTGATTCTGAAGATATGTCACCTCGCATCACAACATGGAGATTATCGCTTAGTCAGCCTGCATTGTTTCTCCCTGAGGAGCTGTGGCGCTTGAGCTGCACGGCAAACATCTGCCTCCGCAACACATAAATCTTACATGTAATGTACAAACACTTGGTGTTGGTGAGTTACTGTGGGCTGATGGCTAAGGATCCCTGCCTTCTGGTCAGACAGTATTGATTGTGGTGGAAAAGGAGTTTAATTAGGGCCCAGCACAGACGGGAAAAAGTGTCAGAGAAAGTGAGCGAGAACTGAGCGATACCAAAAAATAATCAAACTTCTGATGAGAATGAGGTGTTTCCTGATGAAACTTTACTTTAACCCAGAACACATCTATTGTGGCTACATCAAACGCAAAAGGTGCAAAAACAATAAACTAGAATTGTTTCATTTGCACTAAAAGTCTTTCGATGTCTGTCCTTCCCCTCCTCTCTGCAGCCTCTAGGTTACTGCTCACCAAGCAAACCCCGAAATGTTTTGAAACTCGACAGCACACACTCTATCTTGTCCTCCTAATTAAATTTGATGCAAAATAACTTCATCACTTCACAGCTCATTTGTGATGTTCACTGAAGACTTTGCAAAAAAGGATGAGAGTCATCACCTGCTGCTCTGAACGGTAACACAGGCAGAACTAAACAAAAACCACCGAGCTATCCTGTGAGAAATCAGGACTCATGAACATTGGCTTGTCCCCATCGAGGATGATTATTCACATTGATGAGCTTCCCTGGGATGATGTGAGCAGAAGTATTTTTTTCTGATGTTTGGTTTACTCAGTGTGAAGGAACTTACTGCTTTAATTGCCAAGATTAGAAGTTCAGTGGCAGGCGATGATTGGATCTGTTCATCATGGGAAGGTGTCTTCAACTGATGAAGATTATGGGTTGTGTACGGAGTTGAGTCATGTTTAATGATATCGCACTTATTAGGCTGAAAAATATTTTTCATTTACCGTAACTTGCGTTTTGCTTTTTTCAGATGAGCAGCAAACGCTCCAGCAGTTTCCGTCGAGCCATCGCCAATGGCCGCCGCACGCTGCAGAGGGAAATCCTGCTGGACGAAACGGGGCTGGGTCTGTACAAGCGCTTTGTGCGCTATGTGGCCTACGAGATCCTGCCCTGTGAGACGGACCGGCGCTGGTACTTCCACCAGAACCGCCTCTGTCCTCCGCCGGTCTTCATCGCAGTTGTCACCATTGTCCAGGTGAGGAATGACATCATCAGTCATCTTGTCTTGACAGAAGTTGGTGATACACTCACTGGTCAATTTGTTAGGGACACCTGGTCAACATCTTATGAGGGCTATTTGATTGGTCAGCTAGTTAAATGGCAGGAAGTCAATACATGTAGGTATGTAGACATTGTATATAAAACTTAAATCTAAATGATGTTGGACTGTTGGCACTGCACCCACTGGTCTGTATGTTTTTTTTCTCTTAAACCGGTTTTCACTGGAAATTATCTCTATGGCACACAGAATATATCCAGTAAGAGTTAGTTCTTTGGGCCAAAACATGTTGTTAAGAAGAATGGTCTGACTGGTTCCAGGCAACTGTACCTCAACTAATGTCTGCAGAAGTTCTTCTCTGAATCTACAAAACACCCAATTCTTTTAATCAGTCCTTAAATCTTTCTAAACCTATTGCCTTAAACCTGGCACACATGCTGAAACAGAAATGTAATCTTTTCTGCATTTAATTTATGTCTGATTTAGTTTTTTCTGTGTTAAAAAAAAAAGTTATCTGAATTTTAATTAATTTCTTTTGGGTTTTCTACTAAGATACATAACATAGTATTATGAGTACTGAGAAGCTGTACATTAGCTTCTATTATTTTACAGCCCCACGTTACTGTTCATTATTGTTCATACAAAGGTAGATGATTTCAGGGACCTACTTGGTACATTGTAGGGTCACAGTGGCTACATGCATGCCTTTTATATAAGCGTAAACCTCGCCCGACACCACAGGCACAGACTGTCTGTTTGTGAAAAACAGGTCAGTGGTTTGCGTCATCTAACCTTGCAGTGGCATTAGCTGTTCTATTGTGTTGACAAAACTACTATAAAAGATTGGGCAACAGACCACACTTTATTTGTCACTCAAATTTGTGATTAGGCCACAAATACTCTTTCACAAAACTTCATTATTTCCCACTGCTCTTATAATGCCTCCAAATGGCACCAAATGGTCTGTAATGACAATGAGGATGAGATAATAATGGGTGGTATTTTTTTTAATTCACAGAGACAAAGTGTCATTATTCCGTGAAACATTTATAGAAATGAATGGGATGTGTGTGGGATTTTTCCCCGCGGCCAATAATTGTCTTCAAGACATTAATAAGCATCGAGAGTGGAATACAATAAAAGAAAGAGAACGTGTCGGACGTCTTCCACAAAAGTCAGTGTGTTTTGTTATGTGAAGCTGTTTCCACCGCAGCTTTTTACAGAGAGATTGAGAGATGAAGCCTGAACTGACTGAATTTGGTTCTGGTTGTGTTGCAGATCATTGTTTTTATGTGCTATGGCATCATGCTAAACAAGTGGGTTCTGCAGACCTATCAGCCGGACTTCATGAAGAGCCCTCTGGTCTACCATCCAGGCCATCGTGCTCAAGTTTGGCGCTTCTTTAGCTACATGTTCATGCATGTCGGGTATGTAATAAAAAATACATTTTAAAATAATATAGCTAAATGGTAGACAACAAGTAGCTTACGCTTGGCCGCGATTGTAACAAATATTAGCAAAGAAGATGCTAAATTGTACTTTTGGTACTTTTTCAAGTATTTAAACTGGTCATCATAAAATGTTTGATTTAATTTAGTTTAGCTGTGAGCTGCAACCTGGACATTAGCTAATGGTTAGTAAATTAAACAAACAAGAGCTCATGCTTGACTATAAATGTTAAAATGAGTTATTGAAAGTACTGTAAATTAACTTCAAGTCAAAAGTTAGCCAACATAGCTAAGAACCTGCTTTTTATTTGAACATGTGAAATAAAAGCTACTAATAACTTATGCAATCTATTTTATTTATCGTGCTTTCTTCAGCCTGGAGCAGCTGGGCTTCAATGCTTTGCTGCAGCTGATGATCGGCGTGCCTTTAGAGATGGTCCATGGGATTTTACGAATAAGCCTGCTTTACATGGCAGGAGTGCTGGCTGGTGAGTCACTGAATTATCTACAGTGTAAACATGCAGTTATCACTATGGTACCGTGGTACAGCAGGTTACTGTATATGGTCATGGTCATGGTTGCCATGGTTTGTTTTGTCTTGTTTTTTCTTGTCTCTGAACCAAAGTGCTAAACCAAAGCTAGCTTATCAGGTTACAGTTCACTTCAACAGCAAGGGCAGGCTTGCCTCCTCACTGCCTCTGATTGGTGAGTAGTCATTGGCTTGTTCGTTGGTAAGGTCAGTTCCCTGGGGTAGCAATATTCAGTAGAAATATTACACACTTTCCCTCCTTCTCCCCCAGCAAATCAACAGTAGTAAATGTAGTACAGAGCACCGTAATAATAAAAAAATAGAAAAAGAAATGATATACAGTACAGTACATATGACTGGATCTAAAATAGTGGGTGATGATTTAAAAGCCTGATGCAGATATTGTTTGTTTAAAATATACATCCTGCAGACTGGTTCAGTTAAGGTAAAATAACAGTGCTCCATGATTCTGCTCAGTGCAAACAAACCAATGACTGAACATTTTATGTTCTTTGACATTCTGCTGCACTTCTCATCATTTAAATGAACTCCTTCAAGTCAAGGCTAATTTTCCTTAACTTGTTTTCCAAGAGAAAAGACTTGGAAAGAAAACTGTTCTTGTGCAGCTGGAGGTGCCATGTTCACTCATAAAGGCTCAGAGTGAGGCAAAGCTGAGAGATGAATAGTCTGACATGTTGACAGCCCCAGCAGTAATGGCCCTTTTTTCTTGATTCATCCCACAGTTGCCAGTATTCATCTTTCTTTTTCTACAGATGCTTTTTTTTTGTATCATCATGTCTGAAGGCCCTGCTCCTCCTTTGAACGTCCATGATTCTTTAATGTATCTATCCTTGTATCTTTCATCTTTTCTCTTCAAGATCAAATATCTTCCTTCTCGCTGTTTGTCTGGTGATAAAGACACAAGTTTTTTCAATTTTGTTTATTACCAACATAAACATTTTGACCATTATTGTCATCTTCTCACCTTCTACATGAAATCACTTCCTTCATCAATCTTTGCATCATTTCCATTACCAAAAAACCTTGTCCCCATTTGTTGCATTTTTTTTGCCACACTCTCGTTCTCAGCTGCAAAGTTTTCTTCCTCTTTCTTAAACCGTAACCATTTTTCTCTTCAAGTCAGCTTTACGTTGCTCAATGTATTGCTTTTGTATGTGCTTTTTTTTTTACATCTTATTGAAGCATATCCCCACACATGTCCTCTGCAGTTCTTTCCTCGGCTGTGCCGTGTTTTGCTGTTTTCTGCCTACAGAGCTTGTGCTTCTTCACATCTGAGATGAAAATCATCTTGATGTTTTTTTTCCACCTGTGCTCACTATGAATAAGATTACCAGTGTGTCACTTTTTAAAATCTTTTAAAGCAACACAGAAGCAAAGTGACGAGTTGCAGTATTAAGACAGAAATGTCCAAATTAATCTGTATTGTGGTATATATATATATATATATATATATATATATATATATATATATGTATATATACATATATATATAATATGCTACATTACGTGACATGCGTTGAGAAAAACAAAATAGCATTAGTGAGATTGATATCCTATCGTGCTAATGAATGAACCTAGTCCATGTACTCTGTGAGAGTGGAGTCAAAGCTAAGCTGGATGAACTGCTTGGACAGTAGATCCACACCAGCTCCTTCAAAATGTCTAGTCCTCCTTCACCTAAAATACAACCAAGTTCTTAGGTAGATCTGTTCTGGATTTATAATCCCATCAGTGCGCAATTTGTCCTGCTGTGGACAGGGTCCATGGTCCAAAATCATTTTGTGAAACACTTTGTTTTAGGGGCTATGACTCATTCAGGGCAGATTACCCTTTGGAGTCTGTTTGCTACAGTATCTGAGAAACCAATCTGAGGTGAAGGGTCACGAAGATAAAGCTCAGAAGAACCTTTCATGGAAGACAAATGGTGGTTGGGTGCACTATTCAAATCCCTTAAATCAACCCATTTTTAATAAATGTTTTGCTCGGCACCTTTATTCAGAAATAAATAAATGTGTAGCAGAGTAACCTGTGCAGTCCAGATGTTGGCTGCAGCTCTCAAATCTTTGTTGACAGAAAAACTCATTAACTTTCATCCTCCTATGGGCCATGTTTTGGAGATGGGGCTTTTTAAGTCCACTCTCACTGAGGGATGCTGGTCCACTTTGGAGATTAAGTCCACTCTCACTGAGGGATGCTGTTCTTCTAGTGCTATCTGAGCTTATAGGATGTTTTAGCCAAAGACTTATGAGTATCTGCACTATACTGCATGTATTCTCACTATTTACTGAGAGCAATATCTGTCTCAAATCTTAATTAATTATATTTTCCTCTCAGTTCTGTCTTTGCTCAGAGCAGTAGAAACATGGCTGAATCCACAGCAAACTCCTCTTCTGCACACAGCTAACACTCATGAATTATTATAGCTTCAGTGACAGAAAAAGAAGCCAGCTCAGGGTTTAAAAGAAGACGGGGGGAAAGAAAAGTAACACAGGATCTCTCTTTTTCTCCACCTCTGGGGAATTGTCTCTTGGTGCAGGTTTGAGATGTTTGGAAATCTGAGCTACAGTTGGACTTGCAGTAAAGAGACAGCGCACACTGACATCCATGCTCTTAGTACATGAAGTCAAGCTGTGTTTATGGGGAATTCTAGGATCACAGTGATGGGAATGTATTATTGTATGTATTCTATTTAAGTTATGTCTAAATCTCACTGGTGTAAATTTAAAGTTTCCCTTTCAGTATTATTGCCATACAAATCCCCACTAACACTTGTGCATGTCCTCATAATAATTAATATATTAAAATGTATTTTCTCCTTACTGCTGTCCGTGGTGCTGAAAGCCTCACAGCAGGCAGTGACAGCAGCAGCTCTTTTCATCTGAAAACTGAGCTGTCCAGCCAGCAGAGGAGCAAAGGAAGATAAACGACCTTTATGGCACAATCATTTTAGCCCCTGATTCCCGCTGATGGTGTTGAAATTGGAGCTCTGTTGATATTAACATTGTGATCTATTGAAACATGGTCCAGAACAAAGCAGGTGCACTAGGAGACTCTCTGTGTATGTAATTCTTAGAGGTTAGAGGCCGGGGAAAGAACAGAGGACGTGAGAGACTGTAGAGTTCAGACGGTGTGAGGATGACATAATAAATGTCCCAGCCCAGGACTGTCTTTCATCAATAAAAGATGACACATTCTATCATATTTAATCTGAAGAATGTGAAGGACATTTGTAAATCACATACAAACACCTGCTTCTTGCACTGCATTTAACCAAACAGATTTAGCGTAAGATAAACATTTGCCTTTTACAATTTGAGCTATAAATGTATGCAAAAGCACTACATTTTGGACAACATTCCACTTTAGTTTCTGTACTTTGATATTGCATTGCACATGCGTAAAGTAAAAGCAAAAGACAATCAGGTTTAAAAAGACTTGTCTGTGAAAATGACTGATGTAGAAACAAGCAGGAAAGTTTCATAAACATTACCTTAAACATTACATTGACTTTATGAAGCAAAGTGAACAGCAGTAAAAAGTCAAAGCACGAGTGTGTGTGTGTGTGTGTGTGTGTGTGCGTGCGTGTGTGTGTGTGTGTGCATCTGCTGACAGACTTTGGAAACAGTTTGTTTCTCCACCTCCTACTTTTTCTCTCTATCTCTGTTAAACTTCTGCTGGTTCGTAGATGGTAGAAATTGCCTGCTGCTTTCAGAGCTGTTTGTAAAAGTCTCCATTTTTCCCTTTTTTCTTTCCTCCATTTTTGTCGCCCACAGGCACCTCATGTTTGTATTCATGCCAGCTTTTTCAGAGCCCAGGAGTTCAATAATGCCGGCTGATGCTATCAGCTCTGGCATGCTCGCATGTTGGTTGTTATTTTTTGTGAGGCAGCAGAGCTTTGAAATTACAGCTGCATTCAGTGGATGCATTTATAGGGGAAATGCACTGGAGCTACACACAACCTCACATAAGGTTCTATTAGGACACTCTTTGATAGTGGTATCACCTTTATACTTCATTTGAGTTAGTTTTATTATCAACATTCTTTTTTGTTTTGCAGTAACATTACAATCAATTATTTGTAATGTAAAACTTGACTGCATTTCCCCACTTATACTATAAAATGCTCTTAATTTTGGGTGGCTGCAAAAATGTTGTGTCATATATTCAAGGTTTTAGCCCAGAACATTTTTTTCCCTGGTGATTTTGTTTTGGTTCTTCTCCAACGTCTCCCTCAGCTTTTCCATGTGCTCCAGCTCAGAGCCGATGCCAGAACACCGTGTTTTAGCTCGTAGTCCTGTTTGAGCCTCAGGGCGTCTACCTCCGCTAACACACTACAACTGAGACATGTCTGACTCCTCTGGCTACGAGATGGACTCTGCCCGTCTCACTGCTACAGCTCAGACACAGTATCGTTTTTTGATCTGCTTAAATAAACAAACCGATTTTAGAAGTGAGTAATTGCTGTTGACAACATAAAGGAAAAGGATTAAAGAACCGTGGAAGGACTTGGATGTCTTTTTTTCTGGCTGAGACCTTATTGGTTTAAATATTTGAACTGCCCACCATCACACCGTTTCATTTTATTGTGGCATCTTGGATCCCATGTTTTATACATTTTTATACTTATTTGTCCAATTTTTATCTCATTTGGTTATATTTTTGAAGAACTACAAGCAACAGCCTTTCTTTTTAGAAACCTGTGCTTAAATTTTTCTCAATTTTGACAGATTTGTACTTATTTACGGGTGGGTACAGGTGTTCGTGTCCACTCTGCATGTCACAGTGGTCATTGAAAAAGGTCTTTCTTTACGTTGCTTGCATGAATAAATAGCTTTGTGAAACACATGAATGCACCTCAGTGATTGCAGAATAAACCAGGTTAGTCTTGATTGAGTCACTGGGCAGCAGTCACCTCCTGCTGGCTGCTGTGACACCTGA